TTTTTTTCGTGTGTGCCAAATCAGCAATTGTGTTTGTGCCTGTCATTGAGTGTCTGTTTAGGTGACTGCACCCCTCCCCCCTTTCAATCACATGGGAAAGGTGTTTTTTCTCTCCTATTGGTGCAATGGGCCACGTGACTGGATTTGCCCCCCAGGCTTAAGGCTGCCAGCCCTCCCCTGATAGCAGGGGTCCTCAAAATGTGGACCTCCAGATGTTGCTGAACTACAACTCCCATGATTCTCTCGCTATCTATGTAATTAAAAGAATCATGGGAGTTGTAGTTCAGCAACATCTGGAGGGCCACAGTTTGAGGACCCCTGATATATAGGTTTCTGTTACATAGTTACCTAGTTACATAGCTGAAAAGAGACTTGTGTCCATCAAGTTCAGCCTTCCTCACATATGTTGTTGCTGTTGATCTGAAGCGCTTCCAATTTTGCCACAAACTAGGAAAAAATTCCTTCTTGACCCCAAAATAGCAGTCAGATGTCTCCTTGGATCAAGCAGCTATTACCCCACTAATTAGAAATTATATCCCTGTATGTTATGTTTTTGTAAGTGTAACGGATCACCTGGCACCCCGACTGGGTACCTCCGTTGAAGGATGCTCCTAGCGCTTCCTGATGACTCCAAGCACTGCATCAGACACCACAACCACTGAACCGGAGAAGCATACGAATGCTCTCAAGCATATGAATGCTGTAAGCAGCTGGACAGGAAAAGCATACAATCAGCTTACACTCCTGGCAATCAGCATACAAACCAATTCCCCCAATAACGAGACGACACTTTGTTTTGAGGTTAAGCAGAATACAGCCTCTTTTATTCACAATCCACAAACATAGTACTGCCCACAGGGTTTTGAAATACAACCAATCAATCCGTACAATACACACAGACACTCCCACACAAAATCCACAAAGGTTGGTTTCGCCACAGTAAGTATTTATTCAATTGCAGTTTAAACCTCTGTAGTGACTCTGACAAAACCACCTCTTCAGGCAGAGAATTCCATATCCTTATTGCTCTGTGACCTCATGTCCTATGTATAGCCCTGTTTATGAATAGATTTCCAGATAAAGATTTGTACTGGCCCCGAATATATTTGTACAAAGTTATCATATCCCCTCTCAGGCGCCGTTTTTCAAAACTAAACAGATTTCATTTTTTTAACCTTTCTTCATAACTAAAATGCTCCATTCCTTTTATCAATTTTGTAGCTCGTCTCTGGACTTTTTCTACTGCTATGTATCTTTCTTTAGAACAGGCGCCCAAAATTGAACACAATATTCAAGGTGTGGTCTTACCAGCGATTTATAAAGAGGCAAAATTATATTTTCATCCCGAGAATTTATGCCCCTATTTATACATGACAAAACCTTACTGGCCTTAGCAACTGCAGATTAACATTGCATATTGCTGCCTAATTTGTTATCTATAACAATTCACAAATCCTTCTCGTTTGTGGTTATCCCTAATTCACTACCATTTAGTGTGTAAGTTGCTTGTGCATTCTTAACCCCGAAGTGCATAAATTTGCATTTCTCTACGTTAAATTTAATCTGCCATTTTAGTGCCCTGTCCCCCAATCTATCCAAATCCCTCTGCAGCAAGGCAATATCCTGCTCACATTTTATTACTTTACAAACTTTTGTGTCATCTGCAAACACTGATACATGGCTTTCAATGCCTATTTCAAGATCATTTATAAATATGTTAAATAGAAGTGGTCCCAAAACTGAACCCTGAGGGACACCACTTACCACTTTTGTCCAGCCTGAAAATCTACCATTAATTACAACTCGTTGTACTCTATCCTTAAGCCAATGTTCTACCCAAGAACAAGAATATTCATCTAGACCAATTTCTTTTAGTTTGAAGACTAACCTATTGTGAGGAACCACATCAAATGCCTTGCCAAAATCCAAGTAGATCACATCCACTGCAACACCCTGATCTATACTTCTACTTACTTCTTCGTAGAATGCAATTAGGTTAGTTTGACATGACCTATGTTTCATAAAACCATGCTGATTATTGCTAATAACAAAGTTCTTCCTAATGAATTCCTGAATATTATCCCTTAATAGCCGTTCAAATATTTTCCCAGTTACAGAAGTTAAGCTCACAGGTCTATAATTTCAAGGCAAGGATTTTGAACCCTCTTTAAATATAGGCACAACATCTGCCTACCTCCAAAAATTAAATTCAGAGGTTCACTTATTTCCCCACTTAGCTCCTTAAGTACTCGTGGGTGAATACCATCAGGCCCCGTAGCTTTATTTACATTAATTTTCTTTAATAGCTGTAGCACCTTGTCTCGAGTTAACCAATCATAAGTTATTTGCAAGCTTTTTGCAGCAATCATTTGCATATCTCTTGCCATAGGATCCTCATTAATAGATACTGAAGAAAAATAGTTATTTAAAATTTCTGCTTTTTCCTGGTCTTCATTAGCTAATAAACCCAACTCTGTTTCAATTTTTCCACTTTCATTTTTTTTTATTTTTTTATTATTGATGTACTTGAAAACATTTTGGGGATTGGTTTTGCATTCTTTAGCTATCAATGTCTCATTTTCTAGTTTAGCCACTTTAATTGCCTTTTTGCAGTGTTATTGGCTTCCTTATATCTTAAATAGGATGCCACTGATTTGTCTGATTTAAATGCTTTAAATGCCCTTTTCTTATTTTTAATCTCTTGTTTTACTTCTCTACTAAGCCACATTGGTTTTAATTTGTTTCTTTTATATTTATTACCCAATGGTACATACTGAGAAATGTACCATTCTAATATTTGTTTGAATAGTTTCCATTTATCCTCAGTGTTTTTATCACTAAGGAGTTTATGCCAGTCGATATGTTGTAGAGCTGCCCTAATCTTATTGAAATTGGCTTTTTTAAAATATGTTTTAGTATACCCCACTTGTTTTTGCTCTTTTGAGTTTATTTCAAAAGTTACCATATTGTGATCACTATTTCCCAAATGCTCCCCTACTTGAATGTTGGTTAAAAGATCAACATTGTTTGTTATGACAAGATCCAGACAAGCATCCTTTCTAGCTGGTGCTTGTACCAGTTGTGACATAAAGGTGTCATTTAACACATTCAAAAACCTGATTCCCCTTGCTGTAGTACTAGTCCCTCTATCCCAATTTATGTCTGGGTAATTAAAATCTCCAATAATTAACGTGTTACCTCGATTTGCAGCTTTCTCAATTTGCTGTTCTTCCTCAATAATATTTACATTAGGTGGTTTATAACCTATCCCAACCAATAATTGATTTCCCTTTGTTTGCCCCAAGCAGATATCTACCCATAAAGCCTCCACATTTTCCTCGTCACACTCCACATGCCTAAGATTTGACCAGGGCTGCAATCAGGGCATGACAACCGTGACAATTGTCACGGGCCCGGCGGTCCTGGGGGGCCTGGCCGCCCGGGCCCCACGTGTATCAGCGGAACTGCCGCCAGTGCATCTGCACCTGGGCACACACGCTGATGGGGCCCATCAGGTGGCCCAAGCATTTAGGGCCACCCAATGGGCCCTATTATCTTCAGGGGCCCGGTCAGCGCTGAAATAGCGCAACCGGGCCCCTTTAAAAAAAAAAACAATGCGGCCGGAAGCAAGTGCTGCTGGGAGGAAGTTACGTCCGGCCACTTCCTCCCAGTTTACTCTGCGCGGGAAGTTGGAGAGAGAGGCCGCGAGGAGAGGCAGCCGACTCAAATCATCCCCAGGCACCCTCCTGTGACGAAATGGTAAGGAAGAGAGGAGGGTGGCTGAAAATGAGGTGTGTGTATGTATGCCAGTGTATGTGTGTATGTATGCCAGTGTATGTATGCCAGTGTTTGTGTGTATGTATGTGTGTATGTATGCCATCCTATCCCCACGTTTGCAGTTGTTTGTAGGAATATAACTTGAAAAAGAGATGGTGAAATGCTTAGAACTGACCATGCCCCCACTAAGGACAAAATGTAAAATTAAACAAGCACTCAAACCGGTATTTTTTTTTTTTTTTAGCTTGTACAGAAATCCATTACTTTAAAAGAACACTGTAGGCCATCCTTCCATTTAGCATTAAACCATTTTGAATGTTTTAATGCTAAGTGAGATTTTCTAGAATCCCATCCACTCTGTGCTGTTTGGATTAATGAGGAAGCATTAGACTGAGCAGCAATGGGTAACTGTGGGATGGGGCCTTTCTAGCAACTGGGCATCAACGGTTTCCCAGTCGCTAGTTTTAAAGATCTAGCAGATATGCACCAACCTGCCACGTAGCAGGTTGGGCATAGGGAGATAAAAAGCTCCTTATAGTAATATGGGGGTCTTATTTTATTTATTACTTTTTTGATGTGATCGCTGGCTAGCCAGCCGTCACTTAATTACCCTTTTGCCGCCAAGGGTTTTCACCTAATTTCCTGCTGGCTGCATCAAAAATTTAAATTTGAAGCCTAGAGGCCAGGATTTGAAAAATCTGGTGCAGATTTTAGCAGTCCGACAGTGGTGAGTTCAAATTTAATCCGGACCAATTTCAAACCCATATGTAGATTAGCATTGAACAATGTCTGAATTTTGAAGTTCAAAGCCCTATTTGCAGCCAGATGTTTTTGCCCCAATCGGTATGGGGACATTCGGAATTTAATAAATAACTCAGTTATAGTCAAAAGTTGTGGGAACATGAAAGGGATACATCAATCTAAAATGTATTTGGCTGCAAAGGAAACAGCTGCAAAGAAAACTTACAAACAAGTCAGTGTTTTACTAGGTAATGGAAAACAAACGGTAACTTTTCTAGCATCAGTTGTGGTATTCTTTAAAGATAGTAATAGTATAACATGAGCATGTGATCTGTGAACAACATAAACAAAAGGATGTTTAATTTTCTTACTTTAATGTCTGTGGTATTTTTATATCTGCAGCTTGTAGTTATAGTTAAAAATAAGGCACAAAATATTTCCTAAATGTTTATAAAATATAATAATAATCAGTGGTTGTTATGCTAATTATGCTAGTTATGCTATGTATAGATTTTGGCCAAGTTCTTTGTTAACATTATATGCAATAAGAAGCAGAGTCTGACTGTCATGCTTATCGGATGCAGGTTAGCTGAGCTCCAGGAGAAAAGCTGACTTTCCTAAAATTAACAGATTTGCTGATTGCGATTTTAGGCATTTTAACACTTGTGGTTTTCCTTGTTAGTCTGGGGTATCAAGAGAAACACTGAGGGACCATCTCTGAAATTAACTGGCTCACTAATTCGTGGAGAAATAACCAGGATATAAGCATTTTATAATTTTTAAAATAGAGTGGTATATGGTTAAACTACCCTTCATCTTTTAGTTACATCACCACAGCCATGTACTCTAGCTATTTTGCAATGTTTTCTTTTTTAGTTCTGAGCATTGTAATTATTAAGCCTTACCACTGCTGAGTATTATCTAATTTTTTAACAATTGTGCAGATATATCAACATAGGTATCACACCTTATCTGGTGCCTCTTTTACATTTAATGTCTACTCCTGTCTTTGAAAATGTCACTGGACTGCAAAAATAAACAC